TTGATAAAGGGGACTTTTTTATTTTTTAATTGCCAGAGTACACATGCACCCACCAGAGGGAGAGAGAGAGAGAGAAATCACCCACTACACAATCCTTTTCCTTCCATTTCTCCATCCCATCAGGATTTGGTGTGTACACACATAACACACAGCTTCATTTTGCATTGCTGGGGACAGAACTCAAACTGCAGTCAGCCATGTGGGACAAGTCCCAATACATAGCACTTAATCATTGTACTATGGGATCAACACAAAACAGGGCCTTTGTATCAGTTACCTATCACCATGTAACAAACGACCCCAAAACTCAGTGGCTTATGACAGCATTCACTTTCTTATTATATCTTACCTTTCTCTGGGTTGCCAAGGAGAAGGCTAATCAAGGCTGGTGCAAACAAGGGTCAGGGTTCTCCTGATTTCACTTGTGTCACTTCTGCATCTGAAGGTTGATAAAGAGGCTCTTTTCAAGGAATGGCTGGGCTAGTTGTGGCAACTCTGTTTACATATTTTTTGTTCTCTTTCTAGTACCAGTAAGCTAGTCCAGGATATTCTCCAGGCAATGGCAGGGCTGCAAGAGAACCAGGCCAATCATGTGAGCACTCCTTAAAGTTTCTGCTTGTCTTTCATGTGTGCTAATACCCTATTGCCCAGGAGCAGGGAATCCCAACTTGCCTCGATGGAAAAGTGATGCAAAGTAACATGGCAATGGACATGAGATTCAGGGAGTCAGTGAAGAACTTGGACCGTGAGCACAGTCTGCCATAGCCTCCCTCCAAGATTTGCCACCAGTGGGCCAGATAAACAGGAGGTTTGCTTTGTGCTCTCTATCCCTTCCACAGCTCTGGAAGAATTTGTCTCTCCTGGGTGAACTCAGTTTCACTGTATGTAAATTATAGAAATGTCACTTCCTTGGTAAACTTAACTACTGCATTAGGGAGTCAACACAAAATAGGACCTTTGTATCAGTTAGTTATCACTGTGTAACAAATTAACCCCAAAACTCAGTGGCTTATGACAGCATTCACTTTCTTACTATATCACACTTTTCTTTCAGTTGGCAAAGACCCTCATGTATATGAGAGGAATCTTCTAAAAGTTTATGGAAAATGTGTATCATGAAAAAATATTATGCAAGGATTTCATATATTTTGCACCCAGCTAATTCCCCCTTTCCATGAATTTTTTGAAGTCCCCGCATATATCCCTCTGTTATAAAAGGGTTCTACAACTGGTTATTTGTGTGTTTCTTCCACTCTCATGGGAGCTCCTGTCTTAGTCATGTAGGTCCCAGAGTGACTGCCTCTATATGCCTCTTGCTGTATAAATGATGGCATATTCCTTGCCTCCACGACCTCCCTAGTCTCTGACTCTCCCTGCACATTCTTTTGAACCCCTTTAGCTCGTCTTCTGGGTATTGCTTGTCAATCTGTCATGTTTGTAATTCAGCATCATAAAGTTGCATGACCAACTTTTGACTGGCCTATCGGACCCTACAAAGTAGTCACCTCAAAAACCTGTCATTATATATGCTCTTTTCCACTCATAGTTAGGAAGGAACTTGCTGGAATTCCTG